CGCTGCCGAACGCGGAGGCCGATTGTGCCTCTTTGTCGCTCGTTCCGCGCTCTCGCTTGCACTTCAAGCCTTAAATGGAACGCCTCAGAGCGAGGTAACGCCGCATGAGTCATGTTTTTTCGTGCGTGCAGCCGGCTCCATCGAATTATAAGACGTTGTCACGTCAAAAATCATCATTTTTTATCACATATGACGAAAATAATATTAAAAGCAGTTTATGACTGCTATAATTACTAAAGCCGGATAAAATTGTATCAAAATCGAAAATCTATAGAATTGAACTGAATTACTCATCTCTTCACAGTAGGTATGTTGAAAGTTGTCGTGATAGACAGGGAGATAGGTAACAAAAATTGGGTATTAACGCCCTACTCGATCGAAAGATTTACTTTTGGAAAAGGTGGTCAACGATTTCTTTAGTATGGCATTGGTATTTTAATCTATCAATAACCTACGTACATGTCATCTTGCAATAACCATTACTTGAACAAAATATTTGTATGTTAAAAGTACAAGTGTACTTACTTTGTATTATTACAAAATTTAATACAAATAACGATTAAAGTAATCAGTATAATAACATCAATAAAATTATATTTCAATTGTTCAGTTCGTCGACTTCATCATCAGAATCTACATTCTCTTCAGTATGTAAATCTGGTGCTTCTGTAGAAATTTAATCCTTTACGTTTGATATTGTCACGTGGTTACATTAGATTTTTTGTTAATTGTTTATTTTAATTAGGTTATTATAATGTGTTTTTATTATTTTGTCGTGGCTGGGCGTAAGATATTAAAATGATAAGAAAACGAGATTGGAAAACAATAACAACTTTCTTATATAGTAAAGTAGATGTGAAATTCAAAAAGACAATATGACAATTACAAATGAATTTAGAGTCAGTTGTCAGGTAATTTAGATAGATAACATCACAAATGAAAATTGAACAAAAACGTTTTTAAAAAGGATCATCCTCTCAATGCTGATTAATACACTGTAAAATTTAACAAAATTACTTACGTTGATAGGAGCGTTGCAATCATCTTGACCAGAATGTAGTGCCATCAACACTTATCGGCTATCCTTTAGGGTAGGGTAGAGTCTTTTTGTCAATGCGTTCCCGAGTCGACTGTCCGCGATTAGTTTATCGATCCGCGTTCACGCACTAAACTTCACCACGAAACATGGACAGTGGGCGCGGTGGAAAAGAAAAGGTTAGAAGCCTTCGAAATGTGGTGTTATTGGCAAATGATGAGGATGACGTGAATAGAAAATGTTAGAAATGATGATGTATTAGAAAGAATAGGTGAACACAGGACTATGGAAGTCAATAAGAAATAGACGAGATAGATTATAGCAGTGGCAACGACCCGCCACAGGGGTTACAATTTTTGTAATTAACTAATAAAAAGAAAAAAGCTCCCATGTATGCAAATTTGGACCTATTTCGTTTCTATCGGGTTGTTCGGAAAGTCATTTCGTTTCTTCCCGACAGAGGATTTAATTGTATTCTTTTGCACCCAACTTCACATTTAAGCCGTATAATTTTTATATGCTTTGAGAGCTCATATAGCAAGGCTTGTGTGTGAAAAATTCCAATTAATTCTACGCAGTAGTTTTTGGTTGGTGCCCTTTTAAATATGGAGAGCGATAAGCAGCATTTTCGACATATCTTACTGTTTTACTACAGAAAGGGTAAAAATGCTGTTCAAGCCAGAAAGAAATTGACTGATGTGTATGGAGAAGGTGTGTTGACAGTACGCCAGTGCCAGAACTGGTTCGCTAAATTTCGATCCGGCAATTTTGATGTCGAAGATGCACCACGTTCGGGAAGGCCGGTTGAAGCTGATAAAGACGCGATAAAGGCATTAGTTGATGTGAACCGGCGAATAACAACACGTGAGATCGGATTGAGGTTAAATTTATCAAATTCAACAGTTTATGACCACTTGAAAGGCCTGGGATTATCCTCGAAGCTCGATGTATGGGTTCCCCATGTTCTCACAGAGAGAAATCTGTGTCGCCGCATTGACGTCTGCGATTCGCTTCTCAAACGTCACGAAAATGATCCGTTTTTGAAGCGCATCATCACTGGGGACGAAAAATGGGTTGTATACAACAACGTCAAACGCAAGAGGTCATGGAGCAAAAAAGATGAACCGGCTCAAACCATTTCCAAAGCCGATATTCACCAAAAAAAGGTGATGCTGTCTGTTTGGTGGGATTTTAAAGGAATCGTTTTTTTTGAGCTTTTACCGGATAACACAACGATTAATTCGGAAGTCTACTGTCATCAGCTGGACAAACTGAATGATGCACTTCAACAGAAAAGGTCAGAACTAATCAACAGGAAAGGTGTAGTGTTTCACCAAGACAACGCGAGACCTCACACAAGTTTGGTCACTCGCCAAAAGCTTTTACAGCTTGAATGGGATACAATGCTACACCCACCATATTCTCCAGACCTGGCACCATCGGATTATTATTTGTTCCGGTCACTCCAAAATTTTTTAGACGGTAAAACCTTCACCTCAAATGAGGAGGTCAAAAACCTCCTCGATCAGTTTTTTGCCAGCAAAGACCAAAAATTTTATGAGCGTGGAATTATGCTACTACCAGAAAGATGGCAAAAGGTGTTGGACCAGAACGGTCAATATATAATTTAATAAAGTATTTGTTTATTATACGAAAACTGTCTTTCATTTCCACAAAAAAAAAACGAAATGACTTTCCGAACAAGCCTATAATTTACTGAGAAGGTATACTTTTCCTTACGTATCTCTCTGTCTGGCAGACAGAACGGCAAAACGGGCGTGTGACCAGTTTCTATTCCTCCAAACGTACTGCTTTGAAGAGATAGATACTGACCACACGCTCGCACTGCCTTTTTTTCATTGATTATTTCGTGGAAAACGGACGGTCTGTCTTCATTTTGAGCAAATATATTTTTCGCAGGATGGCTGAGTCATGCCATAATCATAAAAATAGTCTATTTTTTTAGGCGCTCTCAAGCTTAACGACAACAGACAAACAGACCGACTTCCACTTAACAATAATAATTTAACATTACAATTTTATATTTTTAGATTACATTAAACCAGTATGCTTACCGACAAGTTCGGAGCTTATAAATAACGATTTTGTCGGTACCACAATGTACGTCGCAGGCTGGGGAAAGACAGAGAACAGTTCTGACAGCCCCATTAAGTTAAAATTGAAGGTAAAATACAGGATGATTCGAAAAGGACTTTACAACTTTAATAAACAATAATAATACAATAATAAATTTGTACGGTTTCAAATGCAAATATGTATTCAACACATGCTAAACAGTCGTCTGCGGAACGTGCAGCACGCTGGGTAGATTTCGTAGGGCTGTTGACAAAACTTTGTCTCACCTGCTCAATATGTTCAACGACTTCGTCAGATGTCCTTAGATGACCTGATGATTTCTTATGTTTTACTGGGCACCCTGTTTCTACAAAGTATGTTTGTTACTCATAAATTTTAGGCATACTAGGAGGATCTTTAGATTCTTCAAACTAAAACATATAACTAGTGCGCTTGGGTGCAGTGAAGGCAGCCATTTTTGACGCAACTGCCGCTAGCGCTCGTTACGATGCGATTCGGTACTAGCGAACTACCTGAATTAAAACTTGATATGTTTTCCTACAAACTGACACTACAATTAGCTTTGTAGGTCCTCTATATAAATTTATATGACTTTTCAAAGTTGTAAAGTCCTTTCTGAATCACCCTGTACAATAAATATCCATGGATATTGAGCTTGTACTTCTTTTGGCGGGCTGAGAGTAAAATTTTAGTATACAATAGAAATTGCAAGAGCAGAATGCGACGTAAGTTGCTCCTCAAATAAATACATAATAATTGTTGCCTAGCATATAACGGTTAAATAAATATGTAAATAAAAAGTACAACTCATATTGCATGTACATAAGTGCTTCCACATACCTAATTTTTTTATTTTCCCACTAATAATATTCAGGTTCCTGTAAAGAGGATAACAACCTGCGCTGAAGTGTATCGCAATGCAGATATAGAACTCGGTCCCACTCAAATGTGTGCAGGGGGTGAATCGGGTAAAGACTCATGTAGGGGCGATAGCGGAGGACCTTTGATGGGAAATTATAAGAATGCTAATGCCGATGCCAATTGGTATGCCCTTGGATTGGTCTCTTTTGGCCCATCGCCCTGTGGAACAGCCGGATGGCCAGGCATTTACACCAAAATTAACGATTTTGTACCATGGATTGTTAACAAGTTGAAACCATAGCAGTGATTATTGTTATTAACTTTTAAAATTGTGTTAATTGTAAATAGAACTTTTTAAAATAAGTACTGCAGTTCCTTTTTATTTCCGTTAAAGCAAATAAATTTATGTTTTTACTTGGTGGTAAGTATACATAAAATATACCGAAGTTAAGTTAAGCCATAATTAGGGTGACATTTTTTTTTACTAATTTATGATCAATAGCTTAGTTTAGAATAAAGTAATTTAAGTGGTGAAGTAGGTAAGTGGCATACTAAATTACATTAATAAAAGACTGTCATTTAAAAAATGTACTATACAGGGTTATTTTTAAAGAGCCTGTTAGACGTATCTCAATGTGTCGCTGTAACTGAATGGTAAAAATTTTAGACTGTATCATCCGTATCGCTACAGTTTGGATGGCATCAAGTACGAACACATAAAACAAATAATATAAATTTTCGGATTCGTGTAAGACGTGGGGTAGCGTAAGTTTGAGGTATTTGACTAGTGTATGTTGATAGTTATCATACCGATCAGCATGACCTAGAAGTTTAGACAATTGCTTAGTATTCGGGAGGACAATGGTTCGATTTCGTATGTTTGCCCTGGTCGATGCCTTTCTGTGACTTTTTTGGATCACTCAGGCAAATGTTGGGGCAGTAATACAATCCACAGATAATATTTCACTTTCTTCTGTTTTCATTTCGTCTGTTTTATTTTTCTTACCCTAACCGCCATCACTCTTCCATTCCCATGATTCTTAACAGACTGAAGAGGGCCTTCCGGCGTAGTTTGGAAGAACTGCTCGCCTATTAGCATTAGTAATTGGTTGGAATGAAACACCCAAAAGTTTAAATTTAGTTTTAAAGCTGTCACAAGCTGGAAGTGCGTGCGGCCAGTCGAAGAACAATGATGATTGGTTCCCACTTATAGGCATCGCTATTGTCTTTTATTTCAAGCCGAAATATTTTCCGAAGAATGTTTCAGTTCAGTATCGAGCTGTATGACCTAGAGAAGAGGTGGAGAATTTTTTACCAATAGAGGTCACATCTTAAATTATTTTTTGTATAGTTTTTGTCAATATATGTTATGTATTAACTTATTTTATTAATTTTCAAAGTATCGTGATGTTTGCCATTAAATATTAATTGATACAGAGGCTACACTTTATCAAAACCGCTGAAGAAACTTATGGAGGCGGCATATGGCCTAGAGGTCACACGTTCCTCAGAACTGTTCTAAAGGTTTCAACTTTAGACTTTCGTAAGTTTGTTTGGGTCACTTTGTTATAGAAGGTTTTGAGGAGGACTTAGAAAACGAATAATTCAAACTAGACAACAACAACATATATTTACAACTTAACAACAACTGGCGTAACGAAAGGAGAAGAGAAGAGACTTGTTCTGCTGAAGGCGTAAGATGAACTGATTTGGTATTTTATGAAAAATGAAAAACTGTTCTACAAGGAAGGAATAGAGAGGGTAGTAGATACGAGTAGGGAAGCATTAAAATATGGTAACTTTAAGATTAGAAATACCAAGAAATTGATGGCCGGTCAACCACCGAAGAAACCGATTGTAAAAATGTAATTAGGAAGGAATGAAAGGTACAGACGTCATGCGGTTAGTACACAAAAGATGAAATGTTACAGGGATTATAGGAAAGTACAGTAATAGAGTTATTTACATAGATAAGCAAGATACAATAGATTATTTACAAAAGGAAGGAATTTTTATAGACACTAATCGAAAATAGAAAAGAAATATTTTAGAAAGGTATTTACAATATGTAAACAAAATGAAACAATTTTCAAACATGTGGTGGATATCGCCACAAGACCATAGTTTAGCTTCGAGAGGACGCCGCACCAGTTCGATTCCGGGTCCATTTGCTTTTTTTCAAGTTTTTCTTTGACTTATTTGAATCAGTTCGGCAAATGCTGGAGCAGTAATAATATTCCACAGATATTCTTTTACTTCCCTTGTGTCTTCATTTTATTCGTCACATCTTTCTTTCCCCAGTCATCATCCAACAATTCCCCTAAATCTCCTAAAAGTAGGCTAAAGAGGCTTTAATAATATTAGTTGCTGTTCTATAGGTTCTATAGTAATATATGGATTTAATAGCTTGCAGTTCTGGTCCCACCGGATATAGTCATTTTAAGATCAATAGTGGGTTAGTTTTATAAGAAATATTTCTAATTATGATGTATCTACGTCAACTAAGCAATTTTGAGCCTTACACGAAAATTTTATGCGAACTGACCCTTGAAATAATAAAAATTGTAGGTAGGATGTTGAAGTAAACATTGCGGTATGTTTTAATGATTTTTTTGGTCAATTCTCATAAACTACAAAATGCATTCTTTTTCCTTTTCAAAACATCACACATCAGAATTATCTCAAGAACTAATAAGATTTGCAGGATGTTTTAAAGTTCGGAAAACATTGTTAAAAGTTACGTTTGGAGTACGGTTCTATATCCCGATGGGAAACGTAGACGGTGGGTGCAGCGGCAAAGAAAATTTTGCCATTTGGTGTTATGAGAGGATGATGAAAGGAAGGGTTAGAAATGAGGGGTACTGGAAAGAGTGAGAGAACAGAGGGTGCTAACGAAGTCAATAAAAACAGGAGAGATAGTATGGTAGGATGATTTTGCAGACATGAAAAGCTAGTTAAAAACTCATCAGAAGTAATAAACAAAGGCAAAGGAAGACCTAGATTAGATTGGTGTTTGCAAACAGTGATGTAAGATGTTCTCGTGTTTGAGATTAGCTCAGGATAAGAAGAATTGAAGGTGCGGGTTTTCAGGCTGATCACCCCGTTATAATAGGGATCTTCCACTTGAAATGAGATAGTCATATCTTGTTGAACCGGAAGTGCCAATTGTATGAAATTATTTTAATTGGAATGAGCATGTCCGGTTGTTCCAAACCGTATTTTTAACATTTTAAGGAATGAAAATATTTAGGTTGGATGATTTAGATTACCTCATGTAGGATTCCCTTGGTTTCCATTTTGTAGCAAGCAAGCAGGCAAAACAATTTTACACCAACTTCAAACGATACAAAATCAGGCAATAAAAGCTATACACAGTATACCATATAGATACCCAACAGAATTAATGTATGCCCGGCAACAAATACCAAAAATAAACCAAATAATAGACACGGAAACAATATGGCTAATACACCAAATTATAACTAAAACATGCAAGAGCAATATACAAATACAATTCAATAAGGGCAAGCACACCCATCATACAAGACAATAAAACCACCTAGCAAAGAGACAATATAATACCCACAAGACGGGAGTCAACACATTTTTAAATAGAGGTATAAACCTGTACAATGAACTTCAAAAAAAATCCCAAAAAAACTAATGAAGAAAAAGATCAAAAACTGGATAATAAACAAACAAGAATAAAATCAAACAAAAATTTAGTGAAAACCAAAGATAAAGTGCAATAAAAGTTCAAAGAAACTACAGCCAATCTTAAGTTAAGCTAGTAGTATTAATTAGGTTAAGTTAAGATTAAGGTAGGTTAACATGACAGATGTAGTTCTAGATTGAGAAGCGTAACCAGGTAACTGTAAACGCTTCTCGGTGAGCAGATTACAATAAACAATAAACAATAAATTAATGAATTTTAAATAAATAAACAGCAACAAAATAAGTGCGGCGGATTAATGTGTTGCCTATGTGTCATCCTGAATTCTAGTTTATTTATTAAGCAAACATGTACAGATATACTTCTTTTATGAATTGACTGCGTTTGCAGATGCTTTGATATCATAGCAACGAAGGAGATAAACTCCTTGCTGGGCTGGGGTTATGGTTCTACGAAAGAATAGGAAGAATTCAAGTAAAAGCGGTAAAATTGCAGTAGTGTCTGTAGAAAATATTTTTTGGTATTTCATTCCTACCAACTATTAATGCTGGTGGTCGGTCGGTTCCTTCGGACTACATCGAAGGGCAGGGTGAAAGACATCTTCAGTCTAATTTTAGGAATCGCGAGAATGGGCGTGTGGTGGTTGTGATAAGAGAAATTATATGGTCGAAATAAATGTAGAATGGAAGAAAGATTATCTGTGAATATTATTAGTGTCCCAGTATTTAAGCTATATGTATAGAAGGAAATAACTGGAAAACTTAGATTACGGCAGACGATGCCGCTCGGTGTCCATATAAAGAAAAATAGGATATCTATTATTCAAATTTCATTATTTATCAGACCCCTAGCGAAGTATTCTGTTTCTGAGGAGGGAGGGTGCGCATACATAAAAAGTAATTATCAAGCATTAATGTTAAATCAACTTATCTTCATTCCACTATAGATTACCTCAACTTAATGAGGTAAAACTGTTTGTTGCTGTTGTCAGCTTCGCTAGGAATCGAAAATTTTTTTATTACTTCACCCCTGTCAGCCACTTCTTTTGGTTCAACTTACGTGTCCGCCCCTAGGGCATTCAAAGCAAGACCTACAGTGCTATAAATTTTTGAGAACTCTTTCTTATTTCTCTTTGAAGGTAGTAGGTCGGCTTGCTATGTTTAGATAACGCTGAATTGGACTTTTTACTACTATTCATTGTGAGTAATAACTTTCAATAAACATAGTAAAAAGTCCGGCTCGGCGTTATTTACCTCTTAAGTAATTAAAAAAATTATAACAGTTTCAACATCTTTACTGTCTTGCTGTTATGGTTAGTAATTATAGCTGTCCGACAGCACGCTATATTTGCTTCAAGCCCCACTTCAAGGTTCTAATTTAAATCCCGTACAACTCCTATTTCATATTGGATGAGCTTCAGAAATAACTGTCAGAAACTGCTATTATCATTGGCAAGGACAAACTGCTTACAAACAATTCATTTGTAAAGGAATATCCAACAGGTCTTTTGCATTGTCTTTAATTATTATCTTCAACCATAACTACACTTTCAGTAAAGGTTGGGAACTTCTGCCGGTATGTAGTAATGTTTAGAATATAATCATTAAACTTTTCAATATTTGGCAAAAAAATCACCATTGTTATTAATATTTTAAATATTTTATGTTCAAATTGTAAGTAGTTACTGTCG